TTACAAGCTTTTTTCATTGCTTGGTTGAGTACTTTATTATATAGACAGATGAACATTTATAGTTAAAAGTTAAACAGGCTCTTTGATGAATAACAGCTATGTAGAGAAGGTGCTAAAAACAAGGTTTGTAAGTTTACTTTTGTAACCTAGAAATTCGATAAGAATATATTTTAATAGAGCATATGATTGTTCTTGCAACCTGTTCACCCGAAGGAAAACTTGACGAATTGCTATCATAAGTAGGGCTGCAACTAACGATTATTTTTAATAATCGATTAATCGGACGATTATTTTTCGATTAATCGGATAAAAAATTCACTTAGATTTTTTGTTTATTATGACTAAATAAAACCCGGTTACACTTTATTTTAAGGTGTCCTTGTTACAGTGTAATTATATATTTAAGTACAGAGTAATATTAAGTAACTACATGTACTTATAGGAATAGGGTAGGATTAGGTTGAGGGTTAGTTGCATGTAATTATGCATAATTTACTGTTATTACTACAGTAAGTACATGTAACATATGTAACAAGGACACCGTAAAATAAAGTACCTAAAACCCTAAATTAGGATATTTATGTGTAAAAGTGTACTTTAAAAAGTGCAAAAGCCACACATTGAGTTTTACAAATATCAATATTTGCATTGTTTTTAGTGATAATTGCTGATGGCAAGTTGACAACCATGATTAATGTAAAAAAAAAAAAAATTATATCCAACATATTGTTTTAACACAATTTTTGTTAAAACAAATTTACAGACATGTTGTTCAGATGTGAAGATATAAACTAAAAACATCTCAAATATATAATTCATTTAATTTTTATTCAAAATTAATTGAATTATAAGGATAATTTGTAAAAATAAATATAGAACGACTGAAAACAAGCGTGTGAACGTAGAGCCGCAGTAGATCGCGTTTGAAAAACAATTAAAACTTAATAGTAGACAAATGCTATATAAAGAGAGCGGAGTGGAGGTACGCAGCAAGCTAACAGGCTTGATAAAAAAAACAGGAAAAATTATGCATTAGTGCACAAACATTCGCTGAAAACCACTGAGTACAGTGACTAAAAAACAATAATTTACTGCTGCTGTTATTAACTGCCTTTATATTTAGTGCTTCGCTTTGTAAAGACTGTTTTAATTTAATATTTCTGCGGTAGCACTATTTTAATCCATCACTTATGTTGCGAGCGAACTGATTGCGCAACCTGATGCTCGAGACGCAAAATACAGACATCCCAAGTCTCCCGGAAGTTCTGGAAGTCACCCGCATATTGATAGCGGCTCGCAAATTAGTTCAAACTCTCGGGATTTGAGCGCGCAAGCAAGAGCGCGCATGCGAGACAGAAGAGACTGTGCTCTAAACCGTGTAGCGCGAGCGCGCGGCAGAGCAACGGAGGGAGAGAGACCTTGCGTGTGTGCCTCATGAAGCGCGTGTAAGACAGAGAGCATCCTGATTGGCCTGTTTCAACCAATCACCAGTAAACGCTCCCCGTGACGTAAGCAGACCAACTAATCGATAATGACATTCGTTGACAACGATTTTCATAATCGATTATTATCGATTTTATCGATTAGTTGTTGCAGCCCTAATCATAAGACATCCTGTCATAGCTCTTTGGTACATTACGGCTACCGTAGATGCAACACGCATTTGAAAAAGCGAGTCGCTGGAGAGCACAATTCGTTTGAATGCAAAAAAACAATTTCATCGCTAGATGGGAAAAATTCCTACACAATGTCCCTTTAACTAGTAAAAGTTTATGTAATAAAAACATGTTAGCTAATGTAAGTAAATTACTTGCCTCCGCTGGATTGCGTTCTTCTTCTTCTGAGGTAAATCCTAAGCTTATTACTCACAGCTCATCTTCCAAACTCGATGAAAGGAATGATAAAGCAAGACTTGAAAAACTTAACCTTGCATTGGTTTCACTGAGTTCACTGAGAAAGAGAGAGGGCAGAACCCGCATCATGTTTGTTTTATTTTAATTTTTTTCAAAAAGCACAACATTTTGTTTTAATTATGAGTGTATACAAATAAAAGTAGACACTTAACAGTGTATCCCTCACCCAATGCGACATTGTCTGTATTGGAGCCCCCTGGTTACGGCCCCCATGACAAATGAAAAGCTGCTTTGACTTATGCCACTGGGTAGTATGGTGGACGTAAATCTGAAGAGCACTAACTGGACACAAAAAGTGGAGTTTCTCCTGCTCCGGCGTAATGAACGGCGGAGGACAGAAGGCTTCAAGAATGACCGGATGGATGGTCGAAAATGGAACTTTAGGAAGCAGGACTTATGCCTGACAACTTTTCCTTCAGAAACTCCAGCACTGAAACAATCTGGCAGTGAACTGGGTCTGCAAGATGTATAGTACACAACCTTTCAAAAACACGCCACTTAAGGGCATACATTCTTCTAGTGGAGGGAGCCCTGGCACTCAAAATAGTCTTTTTACTACATCCGCTGGGAGTCCAGCATCTCTTAGCTGGTCCCCCTCAAGGGCCAAACATAAAGGTTCCAAAGCTCGGGGCGGGGATGGGAAATCGTCCCCTGTCCTTGAGACAGAAGGTCCCTTTATTGAAAATCTGACAAACAAATTGAGCGTCAGCGTCAGTTCTGGCAGGCCAGGTAGTCAAGCCGCTGCTTATGCTATTTGCTATCAACACTGTCCCGTCAGCTGATCTGCTCCAGCTGAGCTGCATTAGCTGGTTGACTCCCCTCGCTGCTCAATGGCCAAAGCTCAAACAAGGCGCCCTATTTAAAGCTCATTCACCTTGCTCATACATGCTTGCTGCTCGCTCTGCTGGCTCGCTGCTCGCTTCTGCTGCAATACTGACACAGGATTCGACGTGATTCGTTCTCCATTCATCTCTGAAGTTTTCACGAAGCTAAGTTCCTTTTAATATTCATTGCTAAAAGCATCGGTGTGTTGGCAACATGCTTGTTGTTAATGCTATCCGTGTGGCATTTGGGCTTATCTAATAGTCGTTTTCGTAAAATGCTATGCGATCATATTGGCTATGTGCGTTACTATTGTTGTCATTGGCAACTGATCGCGTTGCTCACGCTGACTTTTACCACTATGCAGCGCAGATTCAAGCAGCTTGCTGTGATAGGAATTAACTTCTGCGGACTGCCTCCGGACCGTATACTGCTCATTCTTACGCATTGTGCAGCAACTACGGCGGCGACACTCGCGCCGGTTTAACCCTTTAAGCTATGGGGCGGTGGTTTCTGCTGCTTACGAACGATACCTCCGCCCCGATGTTCGGGATATTCTTGACGCCCAGAAAGCCATGAGCTCAAGTCTCTAATTTGTTTCGTTAATAAAACACATTTGATCATTAATTTGCTCGCGCTCTGCTCAGTTAACGCCCCTGAATGCGCTATCAGCTGTTAATTTATTCATCTAGCTCGTTCTCAGAGGTGGATTAGTCATCTATCCATAGAGCTTACACTGTAGACTGTCAAACAGTTTAAAGAAAGATAATCTAGGTAACAGCATGTTTTAGCTATTGCGGTCTTGATTAGTCATTTCAGTAATTAATTAATATTTTTACTATTATAAATCACTAAATTAGGGCGGCTCAGTCGACACCGTTCGAGACACTCAATTTTGTTTTGGGGGGAATAGCTCATGTAGTCAAATAAATCATCCTCTGTATCACAGAGGAGTGCCAGGTGTGGTTTTGTTTGGGGGGATATTTTAGCTCTCACAGTCTAAAACTGTGTGAGCGTTCCCTAATGCTGCTGCTGCTGTCCTCTGACTCTCTGCTATTTCATGGTGCTCATGAAAGGTCAGAGGACTCCCTGAACAGAGCCATACCGCCAAATTTCAATTCAGGAACATCAACCTGTTGCAATGTATTCAATTAAATTCTAAATTATTTTGTCTGTGTGTTCTTGACTTAATGGACCTGACAGAAATTGAGTGTCAGCGTCAGTTCTGGCAGGCCAGGTAGTCAAGCCGCTGCTTATGCTATTTGCTATCAACACTGTCCCGTCAGCTGATCTGCTCCAGCTGAGCTGCATTAGCTGGTTGACTCCCCTCGCTGCTCAATGGCCAAAGCTGAAACAAGGCGCCCTATTTAAAGCTCATTCACCTTGCTCATACATGCTTGCTGCTCGCTGCTGCTGGCTCGCTGCTCGCTTCTGCTGGCTTGCTGCTCGCTTCTGCTGCCCGCCACCTCCCCAGCTCCTCCTTATGCATAACGTGGCATTTGCTTATGTCATGTTGCCTGCTCTGTTCACAGGGGGATATTTTAGCTCTCACAGTCTAAAACTGTGTGAGCGTTCCCTAATGCTGCTGCTGCTGTCCTCTGACTCTCTGCTATTTCATGGTGCTCATGAAAGGTCAGAGGACTCCCTGAACAGAGCCATACCGCCAAATTTCAATTCAGGAACATGAACCTGTTGCAATGTATTCAATTAAATTCTAAATTATTTTGTCTGTGTGTTCTTGACTTAATGGACCTGACAGAAAAACAGTAAATGTGACCTTAAGTGTATAATATATAGTATGTTATTCAGAACACAACTATTAACACTCATAAAGACTTGATGCGATCTAGTGGCAAAACGATGTAACCTGCATAAAGCATCAAGGAAAAATCTGGAAAGTTTTCTGGAACGCATGAACAAAATGCATGTTCGACTTGAAGCGGCGCTACACAGGCCGATAGGTGTATGACATCAAAGTACTGCGAGAGCGATTAGAGAGCAGACGGCTCCGTATGCTTTTGACTAAATGTCATCACTCTTTGAGCACTATTCTGCCAATCAAATTTGAGGTCCGGAACTAAGTGTGGAAAAAATTCCTCAAAAATATTCATTGTACAAAACCAATTAAATAATTCCAAAACATCTGACCGCTCAATGCTGCACATGACCAATCAGGATCAAATATTCCAAAGAGCTGTTTGACACAAATTAGTCAACCAATTAGTCGTTTTTTTTTTAAATATGTGTTATATTCCCAGTACTCACCTCATTAGGTGACACAGTAAGAACGCTCCGGCTCTTCCTCATCTTCTGTGAAGTTTTACTCTCCTTGTCTTGCACAGGCCTGCTCTGCTGACACTCCTGCACAAAACAACACAAACACACAATCATCTCTCTCAGCAAAGACAAAAAAAATATAGAAGAAAGAAAAGACATATGACCTTGCTTGCTCGTGAGAGATGCCTTAGTGTAAAGTGAAGATAGAGAGTCTTTCTTTATTCTTCTGTGAGTGATAGAGAGAGCAGCAGAGTTTGTCTGCAGTCTGACAGTGACAAGTATCTCTTAAACCCTTGCAGTAACCTCTTCATCAGCTTTTACACTCAATGTTTTTTCAGCCTGTCTAAACTGACTTGCAAAAACGATCTCAAAAAGATCCCTGTACAGAGACTGTTTTTTACATCCCTTGTGCATGATGTTGTAATAGCGGAAATTAAAATAAAAGCGTGTTGTAGAAATGTTACGTTAGTGTTTTCACTTGCAATCACTTTCAAATGATCCTGTTCTCTTTTAATTTGACAGTAAAAAGATGTTACCTATATTTTTGATTGCCTTAAAGCTGCAGTCCGTAGCTTTTCCTCTTTGTCGCCATCTCTCTGTTCGAAATCTGTAACTGCAGTGATTCGCGGAATTATCATCTTTACGTGGGTTGTAAATCGGCATGAAACAGCGCGGATGAACACAGTGCTTTGAGGCGAGTGGTGCTGTCAGTCACCGCGCTGTGTGGATACTGTCATACAGAATCACAGATTCACTTTTTGAAAGTTTGACCAACATAAGAATTTTCATAAGAAAATGTCTTCTGAACAAGTAAGTAACATCCATTTTTGTTCTGACCAACTAAGGGGGAAAAAGCATTCGACATGATAAGCTTCGTTAGATTTAATCAACGCGATTTACAGCAACCGTGCAAATTATAGCCTACTTTGTTCTCAAATTGTTCATGTTAACAACATCACATCAGCATTGCGTGACTAATGTTAAATTTAATGTGTTTTATGGTTACCTGTGTAGTTCAGAATTCATATTCTCCATAATAGCAAAACGAGAAAGGCACAACAAAGGAAACTCCATAACTGTGTGAATTAAGAAAACGTACTGTTACACGATTGAACTATTGAAATGTCTTAACTTACTTGTTCAGCAGAAAAAAGCCGTCTCTTCTTCCGTTTTGAACCCCTTCAAAACACGGAGTTCACGCACTTTTCAAAAGCCCCGCCGATGTTTAAATCCTTGTGTTCGCATGAGACGGGTTCTTTCTCTTTCTCTAGCCACCTTAAATCCGAAGTACGAAGTCTTTTGGGTTTTATAACTGCTGAATCTCCAGTTGACACTGATGATTGTTGTTTGGATCTTTCTGGATGCCATAAGTTTAATTATGTAAAGTGCTGCGAGAAAAGTCTATACATCTAAACATCTCGTCACGCACAGTATAGCCGGCTAGCCGAAACTCCTTCTTTATGTGTACGGGTGTGACGTAATGACGCAAAGACATGCTCGAATTTCCCGCGGAAACCCACCAGTACCACTGGAATTAAAATCATTATTACAAGCTAACCGTTTTGAATCTAGCTATGGCAAGCAGATAGTTTTGACCACTGGCAGAATAAGTTTTTTTTAATATAATTATTTTGGATTATTTTTAACTTAAAAAAGCTACGGACTGCAGCTTTAAGTTTGATTTATGTTATGCGGTTTCTTCCAAACAAACATGATAACCTAGATATAAATACTTCGCAATATCATCATTCATTCTATCCCATACATATTAACTAATAATTCCATCCCACGTTGATGAATAACTTTCAGTCAATTCCTACAATTTTATGAGTACATCTTACTGAATCATGCTGTTCACATAAATGTCCAGTTGATTCTTATGTTCTGTAAAGTGTCACATACTGGTTGAAGTAACCCCACAATGCAGGAAAACCCAAACAAATGCTTTATTACTCCACAAAGACAGACACAGATCACAGGTGAAAATGCGAGTGATTTTGTGTTGTGGCGGGTAAACTTGCTTCACCTACCGGCCACCGTGGCGGGTAAATAAAAATAGCATACTGTTTCACCCGGACGGCGGAAACTTTTAGAGGAGGCACACCTTCAAACAAAATGTGGCGTTACATCGCAGGCGTAGAGGTCTGCAGAGAAAACAACATGGTGCGTTCACACCAGACGAGAATAGAGCGTCTGGCGCAAGTGATTTCATTGTTAAGTCAATGCAAAGACGTTACGCGCGTAAAAAATTCCTGCGGCGTGAATGAGGTGTAGAGCGCGGCGCTGTAGATGCGAATACGCCTCATTCGCGCGGCAAGTTTGAGCGTCTGACGCTTTCCGCGCGCATGATTTTATTGAGTGCTTTTGTGCATTCACGCGTTTGACGCGAATTCGCGTCTGCCGCCCGAGTTGAAAAATCTGAACTTTAGCGTCAATTCGTGCCGCGTTAACCAATCAGGAGCCTAGCTGCTGTCACGTGGTGAAGTATCTGGATGCTTCAATAAATTATTTTGTACTAAATGCCTGATGTGGTTCTAATGCACAACAAAGCAAATATTTTATCACATAAAACTTGATTTCAATATATGAGACATATTCATTTTGTATTGAATGCTATTTATTCCATTTCATATCTAGATTATATTAAATATTATTCTAATGTAAAGGCAACCAACATACTATAGCTCATAAATCCGTGTCTGGAGAGTGTTGTGTGAGAGAAAAAAAAATCACAGGACAGGTTATTTACTTTTGGAGGCTGGCTCAATTTATCATCAAAACAAAAATAAATGACAGATTAGGTGGATGAGGCCGAGGGTGAGAGAAAGAGAAAATGTCAGTATTTCATTGAGACTTGAGATTAAATGAACTGCTTAAGTATTCTTGTAGTATTAATTTTCACATGCAGTTACACATTGTCGGTTAAAAACAAGAAAGTGGCTGGTAAAAACATTGAGTGGCTGGTAGATTTTGAAATCCACCAGCCACAGTGGCCGGTGGACAAAAAAGTTAATTTCCATCCCTGGTTTAAATACACATGGAGATATAATGATTGACAGGTGAACGTAATCAGTAACCAAGGGAACAAATCAGGACTAAACCGAACCACCAGAAACAAACATGGGAACAAAAAGACAACTAAACTAAACATAGTCCTGACATAAAGCTTGTTAGCAACAGTAGCCAGGGAAGGCAGAGCTTAGAGAAGAATCATTTAGAGGATCCTACTCTTCTATGGATGTGTGCTGATTGAGGATCACCATACAGATGGGCTGATTTTTATAGCTGAGCAAATGCAGGACTCTGAATGAATTAAATACTGCAAACCAGTTTGAATATGATATTAAAACAAGCAACATTAACCAGAAAGAAAATAATACATTGACAATGTAATGTTGCTGTAAATTGGAGCTGCTCAACCGTAAAGATTCCAAGGGCTTTTAAAAAATCAATTTAAGGAACGGTCTATTGAAGAAAAATAAAATAAAACTATATGTAAGCAACAACCCTGTCTGAAACAAAACACATATACAGTATGGAATTATTTAGATTTATTATATATGTGTGTGTGTTTGTTCAGCAACATTTCTACAGTAGTTTACAATCAGCTCAAGACCGACCTATGTCATATTATGCCAATCCCATTCCTCTCTCTTTCCATATACTTTCCTGTCAATCTTTATTATCTTATTGGCCATAAATAAATAATTAAATACAAAGTTCTGTCATGAAACTCTTGATGGCACAGGCTGATAGGTCCTTATGCCGCGTTCCAGGCAACCCGTAACCCGTGTTTTTCCAACTCGTAACTGGGAGTACATCGATCTAGGACGAGTTCACGGATGGGAAGTCACGGGTTTGACTGCCGTTCCAGTGCACTTTCACGGGTATAAGGTTGGAAAAACACGGGTTACAGGTTGCCTGGAACGATGTACTCCCAGTTACGAGTTGGAAAAACACAGGTTACAGGTTGCCTGGAACGCGGCATTAGCCTTAATCTGTTTGCACATCGTTCTCTATAGGGCACAGCTGATTGGTTCTCATCGTTCTCTATAGGGCAGCAGCCAATGAGCTCACTGCTCAACTTTCAAATACTTGGTCAGTGTTCGCTTTAGCAGTGTGCAGGATACCTTTAGAAACCCTACCTCCCCAGTTCCACCAGTATAGATCTGGTAATTCATGCATGCGATATTGTACAGCAACAGCATGTCTTACTTTCTCACAGCAGTCTGTTGTATTGGCAGTAGCAAGTCCCGTAGTTCCTCTAAAGCAGCAGCAATAATCAACAACAGCAGCAGCGTAGAAGATCTACTCCACCAAGACCAAACATATTAGCATTGTCATTACCATGCCAAACACTTAAACGAGAGTTTTCATGACAAAAATTAATTAATGAATAAAGTGAATTAATAAATAAAAGTAATGGTGTAAGAAGCACTTTTCCCCCCTAAGTAATCCTTAATAAACATCTTGTTATTTTGTGTGTGTAGTTGTCTCGCAACCACTGCCAAGGTTCTCTCTTCACTATCTCTTTAAAGGGGACCTATTATGCCCCTTTTCACAAGATGTAAAATAAGTCTCTGAGGTCCCCAGAGTGTGAAGTTTTAGCTCAAAATACCCAACAGATAATTTTTACAGCATGTTTAAATTGTCACTTTTTGGGGCTCAAAATTTGTCACTTTTTGGGGCTTTTAGTGTGTATGCAAATGAGCTGTTGCTCCCGGCCCAGAGGAGAAGAGTGCGGAGCCTCACAAGCTCGAGCTTCAGTGTCAGGACAATCTCATCTCACATAATTATAAAATCAGAACAGAAACTCTCAGTAGCAATGTTCATTGTTTCGTCCCAGAGTTGGAGCCAGAGAATATATGCTGTATGGAAATAGAATAGGTATAGTCTAGTTTAATTACGGTTATAACTTATTTTTCATCTTGCTTTTATCCACTATTAGTACAAGCCTGTTGTAGTGGACTGCATCCGAATGATGGCCAAAAATATACTGATGAGTTCAATGAAGTTTATTGTACATCACACAAAAGATGAAGTGTTAGTTTTACTCCAGAAAATCACCATAAGAGCTGAATAAA